GTTTGTCCCTGGAGGGCAGAGCGAGTTAGATCTGGGAGAATGGCAAATGTTAGATGATGTGGAAATTCCAGATCTTCCAGCCAAGGAGCAAGAGAGAAGGAGAGCCTGGAGAGCCATCCCGCAAAGAGTGAGAGTCGCTGTGAGAAGGCTTCACAGGCAGTCCGGGCATGCCGCGCCACGTACCTTGGAAGGACTGTTGAAGTCTGCCAAGATTGCCAAGGTCTACATCGACGCTGTTAAGCTACACAGATGCCCTGATTGTGAGAACACTGCACCAAAACGGCCAACGCGCAAGACAAGCGCGCCAAACAAGTACCGCTTCAACCACACATTGGGCATTGACCTGTTTGAGGTTGCAGATGCAGCAGGAGACAAGTTCTTAGCGCTGAACATGCTCTGTGTTGGTACGACATTCCAACAGGCACAAGTCTTGAGGAAAGGACTTGGACAAGCATCAAGCGAGCAATGTTTGAGATCATTGGATACAAAATGGTTTTCATGGGCTGGGCATCCTGTAGAGATCGTTGCTGACCGCGGACTGCGCAACAGAGGTGCGGTAGCCAGGTATGCGGCTGCGAACAACATCCAGGCGCATCATGCCCCATTGCAAACACCAGAAGCCATAGGAAGAGTGGAAAGGCATGGCGGCATCTTGAAGGCCATGTACCGAAGGGTTTGCAGTGAGGTACAACCCATTGGCATAGACCAAGTGGATCAAGTGATTTCACAATGCTGTCGAACAAAGAACACCTTGCGCAGAATTGGTGGTTTCAGTCCATCGCAATGGGTTCTTGGAGCCTGTCCCCGAGGCGCTCCTAGCTTCATGGATGAAGAGGCGTGGTGTGACCTCGGTGCGATAGAGGAGAGAGACGACCCAAACTCGATTTTTGCATTGCAACATCAATCTCGCATTGCTTCACACAAGGCATTTGTAGAACTGGGTTGTAGCAAACGCGTCCAAAGAGCGTTGCTACGAAATGCACAAGTCATCCCGGGGCAGTATGAAGTGGGAGACATTGTGTGCTTCAGACGAGATTACATGGGCAAGACCCGCTGGAGTCCGGCAAAGTCGAGTGATTGGAAAGGAATCAGACAAGAATGTGTGGGTGCTTTGCGAAAACATTCCTGTTTTGGTGGACGGATCAAACCTACGTCCAGCACCAGGGAGAATGATCCTGCACGGCCATAGAACATGGGCAACAGGCATTTGAGGATGCAACAGGGGTTGAAGTGCCCGTTCCTGAGGATGAACAAGGTCTAGATGAGGCCGATAATCGATGAGGATGATAGTCCACCAGCACGACTGGGACTAACGCCTGTGCTAGAGACAGAGGTGCTAGACGTTGAGGAGACGGAACCAAGAGGGGCAACCACGGAAAGAAACACAATTGAACCAGATCCTGAGAGAGGGACAAGCGCAAGTGAACCAAGCTCTAGGCGCGCGAGTTGACAACAGCTCATGGATGATTTACCGGAACCAATACGCGCTTCAAGCAGGGCTAGAGAACGCAGATAGACTGCGAGCTCTGATATGCGAGACACAAGGAAGGCTGCGTGGACTAAGAGCATGCGTCAGACAGAACGTGCCTCACGTGATGCAATCGGATTGCAGACCCTTGGTAAGCCATTTGAAGGCTGAGGTACCACCGAAGATTGCAGACAAGCGACTCAGCATTGAGATCGCGGCGGTACGGCAGTCACTTCGGACGGATTAGTACAGCAACCATGGTAGCTGACAGTCTCACCAAGGCAATGAAGGCTGACCTTTTGCTGAAGGTCATGGACATGGCCGAGATTGACCCTGATGAGAAACTATAGGATGCGAAGCCGGATCGACAACCTGAAAGCAGGTTGAGTGTGAATAAAGCCTGCATGTACAGATGTGAAGCCAGGATGTCGATCATGGGAGCATGGATTGATGCATGCTCGGGGCCTTTTCGGATCACAGGGCCCTTGAGTCATCCGGCGCGAAAAGATGCGTGAAGCCCGCGTTTGCTGGACCAGATTCAGATTGGTAGCGGAGCGAAGGAACGACTCCGGGCATTTGCAGGGCGAAGGTTGCAGAGGATGAGTGTGGCTGGGTTGAGGTTTTCCCCTGACCACGGAAGAGATAGAGATTCGACCCCTGCCGAAACCCGCTCAGGCAGTTCGCAGGGTTTCCATGATTGGGAATTCAGGACAGCACTCAGAATCCGGATGTATGAAGAGAGCCTGAAAGCAAAAGAGGCTAAGGAGACCTCGAAAGGAAGTGCGAAGAGCCCAGAAGGAGGAACAGAAGGCGCAACAGAGACACCAGCGAAAGAGCCATCATTGAATCATACCGCAACATGAGCGCGGAAATGGTCCATCGCGTGGTGGAAGGCTTGAGAGGCGACGCGTTCTTGGTCGCAAGAGACCTCGGCTTAGAGGCACTCGCCGAGCCTGATGGACTCAAGACCCTCATCAAGAAGATGAGAGACATGGTTTTCCCAAGAGCAAGCGAGGAAGCCAGAGAGTTGTTCAGGGCAGGTCAGAAGCCAATGGGCCCACTATCCCGACAGAGGGGCGAGAGCGTGGTATCCTACACATCGAGACGGAAACGTTGGTGGAGGACACTCAAGGAGCTGGACAGCAGCTTGCAGTTGTCAGAACAGATGCAGGCAGAGCTGATGCTCGAACTCGCCAACATCTCGCACCTTGTCATCCGAGCTTGCTCGGACGGCGGGCGAGAAATGGACAAGGTAGAGAAAGCTCTGGTGACGAACTACGGAGGTGTACATCTTCGGGAAGGCAAGGTCTTTGGCATGCCGACTCCGAGCAAAGGTAGAGGCAAGCGCTCCGATTACTCGAGCTACAGTGGTTCCTCTTCTTCTCCCAGACGCAGCAACTGGAGAAGGTCTGCGTATCCAGCCTTTGGTCCTCTACCAGTAGGCCTTTTTGCTGAGGAAGAGGAGAAAGCAGCTGAGTCATTTGAGGAGTATGATGAGTGTGAAGATGAAGAAGAAGCCCTGGCCCTCACAGCACTGGAGGAGTTGGATGAAGGAGAGCCGATGTCAACTGGACCTCTGTAGGACTCAGATGGGATTACCCAGACAGCCACGAGAAGATGAAGTTTCCGACAGCACAAGGAGATGTCTTGCACATGCTGCCGGAGCACCGAAGGAATTGGCCAACCAAAATTATCGATGTTCGCTGTTTCCAGGACCCAGATCGTGGAAGACACACCTCGCATGTGGGAAAACGCCCGAAGATCCGTGAGGCCATGGCAGACCGGATTGAAGGCTTGGCAATGTTGAGGTCAATCCTGTACTTTGCAGAAGCCAATCCTGAAGGTGCAACATCGTGTTTGTTTGCAAATCTGGACGTCATCGATCAGTTGGCATGGCAACACTCTCAGGTGCATTGCTTCGACATGAAGGACTGAGATAGGTGGCCTTGGTTCACCGAGATGCTGGAAGTTGGGCACGCATGCGATGCGGAGGAGCCCGAGACTGCCAACAATGCAACATGAACCCCAAGTTTGCGAGCAAATGCCATCACCCCAGCACCGGCACCGGTAACAGAACCGAGTGCGCCACAAGGCCGACAGGAGAGTAAGGCTGTGAGCCTGACACCATCGCTCAGGGCGAAGAAGGACAAGGAGAAGAACAAGACTAAGGACATCGCGAAGAAGAAGGAATGAATGAATGATCCAAGGACAAGAACGCCCGCAAGGCCCTGCCAGATAGGCGCATATGTACGCCTGACACAGGTCCTCAATGCAGGTGCCTTTTATAAATATGTCTCAGTTGTCATGCTAGGTCAGAACAACATGTGTAAGACGGATGTTAGTGACACACGTGTTTGGACAGGGTATCATTTCTTGGCCTCTTCCAATCGTTTTCTGACAGACACACACACAGGTGTGTTTGGATGGAGCATCCTGACATATATTAATTATGTATACATGTATATACACATCAGGATTTAATACGTGTATTGTATACACATTATGTAGATATAAGTACACATGTGGTGGTATGCCCCTGGGACCGAGGTACTGAGCTGATTCACTGGTACTTGTTGTGTGCGTGTTTGTGCACACATTATGCCAGCCATGAGCGGAAATCGTGCAAACATTAGAAGGATTGAGTTTGCTTGCATTTGCCGAGTCTTAGGACTGAACATTTCTAACTGGCTCTATTGATTATCCCTGAATTCGTGTGCATAGGGACCTTGCACATGTGCAGAAGGTCTGTTCAACTTAAAGATAGTGTTGATAGGGTAACCTTTGCACACTGTGCGTTCTGCATAGTACTGTATTGTTTGGTAACAACACCCTTGGCAATGTTGCAATGGTATCTCCAAATTGCAGAACTGTCCATTTGGTACATAACCCCTTGCAAGCAGGAATAATGTTCGAACTTAAGGCTTCAAAGGGTATCCTGCAACCAGTCAGAATGATTTGACACTTAAAGGGTATCCCTTGCAGTTTGTCCGGAACACTTTGCAAGAGAGTGCACTTTGCAATAAGGACGGTTTGGTCGACATTCGCTTCAGATTCGGGATCCCCGTCCCCCAGCACTTTGCAGGAAGTTTTCGCGGTTGCCAGCCCTTCAACATGTGTCCCCTATCATTTTTGGTGTATTTCTCTCCAAGTTCACGCCTTCATCGCAACCCAGAGCATCCAATCAAAGCAGAACACATGTGCACATGTATGTGTATTAACATGTATATAGACTGTCAAATATGGACTTCAACAGCTCCAGATGCACAAGTCACAATTAGCTCTTCCTTTGGTGCTGCACATGCTATCGGCGAAGGGCCGTTCTGCTGAATGCGTTTGTATCGGGGGTCCTGTAAACCTTTGTTGCCGTTCCTCGAAAGTGAGGTGACGTCACGGCATGATAAATAAGATAGGCATGCCTTTCCTTTTGTTTCCCTTTAAACCAACGGGTTCTAAAACGGGCCTTGCGTTTAGAACAACCCTCACCTAAGGTTTGTTGGGCGTGATCCATTCACCCGGGCTTTCCCATGGCCAGTCTTCGACTCGGAGCAGCTCCCAGAGCCACTGCAGCGACTTGCGGCGGATGACCAGATTCTGGCGCCGCATGCGCGACAGGAAGGCCATGGGCCAGCGCGGGGTATCGAAACTAGGGACCTGGGTTTGGGCTGGTTGCTGGTTGTGTTGGCAAGTTAGAGGTGGGGATTCGGATGTGTGCAAATCAAAAGGACCCTGTGGGGACATGTGGGGACCTCTGACCTTTGTGAGTCGACCCTTTGTTCCCAAGGAAGATGGGAGGGACATGTCGGTCCAGAAACAAAAGCGACCGAGAGCCCGGAGAGCCCGGTCTGACGGCCGAGATTGCGCTCCTGGGATACCCATAAGATCCAAATAAGCAACTGCACTTCAGCCAGGGGTCAATTCATTTCCCACCCAAACATTGCACCATTTACGGGAACCCCGTTGACACGGCCGTGGAACTGCAATGGTTGATCCTTCCAAAAAGGGGAAATATCACCGGACCCCTGTCTCAGCGATGGCTTGCCGTTCCAGGCTCGAAGGTGTGGAATACCAGCATCACTCACATACAGCGTCTAGCAGACCCAAATGGCGATGGTTTCAGCACGGTGGCTTTGGCCAAAATAGACAGGCCAATGTGGGCCTGCTTTCCTTTTAGTGGTTTCTTTTGGGGTGACCTTGGGGCGACCCCTCTATTGTTCAACCAACCAATGGAAAAAGGACAATGCCGGACGGTTTCCTGCTGGCATCCTTCAAAACCAGCCCAAACCGGGGTCCCCACTCCCCCGCAAATAAACATGGAACCCCAAAAGGAAGTCCCCCAAAAAGTGATTTCTCTACCGTGATGGGTCTTTTTCAGGTTCCATTTGTTGATTTGTGGGGCCCCTAATTTCGGCACATCCCCAGATCCAACACGCCCCTGCCGAGACATCCCTGCGGGGCAGCGCGGACCGATGCTAGTACCCGGCCTAGGCCTGGCCCGCGATCGGAGAAGCTGCGGCGTGCTAAAACCGTCCAAGGCTCCCAGCGTCCATTCTTTGAACCTAAAACAAGAGATGTTTCCATCTAATATTACTGAGAGCTGAACAAAGCCTTTCTGGCAAAGCGCGCCACGACATTGCAGTTTACCTGTGTACCCTTCTTTTCCCAGTCAAGTAAGGACTCACCCCGGCATTACTGAGTTGGCTCAAGGCCTGCAAAATGATAAGGAGGTTAATCAAGCTTTCACTGTGGCGCGCTTCTGTTGTCCCGAATTGCCTGTTGATTTGGGCTGGGTTTAGGATTTGTTTTAGGGTTGATTTATGGTTGGTTCAGGGTTGGTATAGGGTTGGGTTAGGGTTGGTATAGGGTTGGTTTGGGGTTGGTGCAGGGTTGATTTTGGGTCGGTTTAGGGTTAGTGTAGGGTTGGTTTGGGGTGGGTTCAAAAATGCATCAACTACAAAGAAACCCGAAAGCACCAACAAAAATGCACACGTGCCACAAACCAGGATCGAGTGAGTGCATGGTCTAGCACCAGCTCGCTGCGAGAAGCAGCTTGCACCCAAAGCCTAGCCCGAAACCTACCAAAAAAACACACAAAAAACGGCACCCTCAGCTGGGGGTAAGTGGGGTCTATGGGGCTCTTTAGTACCAAGTATCATATCTGAATCTGATATCTAGGTCGCTTCGCTCCAGTGATCTAGTCGCCTCGGGCCCAAGGGCCTCGGCGGAATTGGAATGGATTATTGATAAATTTGGCAAACGGCAATTGTGTGAAGCAATTTTCGGGGACAGGCTGGCTCGGCCTTGGCAGGCGGACTTCTCCGATGAAGAATTGGCCGTTTTCCCGAAAACGTTTCTTTTGCAGAGTAGGCTTCGCTAAGAAATGCGAGTACCCAGGAAAGTTCAGGGGGGCTAAAATGGTTGACATCAAATGTACGCGTTGTTCCGTACGTTTGAGAAATTGCAGCCTTTGAACTTCTTCCACAACGTGTTCCTGCACGGTGCTTGCACTTGGTTAATTTGTTTTTGGTGAGTGTTGCTGGGGCCAATGAGAAGCAACGCGTGAGGACACAGAAGATGACATTATGACATTATGTCATAAGTTGGTATCACAGAGCTTGCGGTGTTTCTTTGAATGGGATGGTGGTCACTGAGTTGCTCGTGCTAGTGTTTTGCGCATTGGAATCAAAAGCACGCTGCATGGCTGCATGGCCGCATGGCACTGTGTGCAGGAATGCCGGCGCACAAAATGCCAATTGCGCATCCCAGCGATTTTGGCGACAGCTATGGCTATACGGACCCAGAGCCAGGTGCCGCAGGCGGGGGCAAGCTTCTGGCAGTCTGGGGATTCATATGTCCGGGTTACCGCGGAGCCCTCTAGCCATTCGCCCTGGTCGGCAGTAGCTTCCATTTCTGTGATTTCCAGCAGCTTCCTCAACCTCGTGCGATAGGTGGGCGCCCGCATAGGCGCTTGCGTAGGCACCTTCTAGCGGCGTAGGCCCGCCTAGGCACCCTCATGGGTGTTTCAACATCCGCGGAGGCGCTGGCGTAGGCATGCTTCCAGTGTATACCCCCGTATGCCGAAAAACACCGCTCACTTGTTCAAACAAGAGCTGGAGCTAAACCTGGAAGAGGGCTGGCGGTGGGACTTGTAAGTCATGTGGGTGTGTTCATGCGCACGGCGTCATTAGCTTCCAGCCTGTCGCTGCAGATATCGTCAAATGTCCTGCATAGTGCTGAGCACATTATGCCAGCCATGAGCGGAAATCGTGCAAACATTAGAAGGATTGAGTTTGCGTCATGACTAGTTGCATTTGCCGAGTCTTAGGACTGAACATTTCTAACTGGCTCTATTGATTATCCCTGAATTCGTGTGCATAGGGACCTTGCACATGTGCAGAAGGTCTGTTCAACTTAAAGATAGTGTTGATAGGGTAACCTTTGCACATTGTGCGTTCTGCATAGTACTGTATTGTTTGGTAAAAACACCCTTGGCAATGTTGCAATGGTATCTCCAAATTGCAGAGCTGTCCATTTGGTACATAACCCCTTGCAAGCAGGAATAATGTTCGAACTTAAGGCTTCAAAGGGTATCCTGCAACCAGTCAGAGTGATTTGACACTTAAAGGGTATCCCTTGCAGTTTGTCCGGAACACTTTGCAAGAGAGTGCGCTTTGCAATAAGGACGGTTTGGGCTTTGTCGACATTCGCTTCAGATTCAGCTCTTGGCAATGGGGATCCCCGTCCCCCAGCACGTTGCAGGAAGTTTTCCCGTCTGCCAGCCCTTCAACATGTGTCCCCTATCAGTTTTGGTGTATTTCTCTCCAAGTTCACGCCTTCATCGCAACCCAGAGCATCCAATCAAAGCAGAACACATGTGCACATGTATGTGTATTAACATGTATATAGACTGTCAAATATGGACTTCAACAGCTCCAGATGCACAAGTCACAATTAGCTCTTCCTTTGGTGCTGCACATGCTATCGGCGAAGGGCCGTTCTGCTGAATGCGTTTATATCGGGGGCCCTGTAAACCTTTGTTGGGCTGGAGTGCCGTTCCTCGAAAGTGAGGTGACGTCACGGCATGATAGATAAGATAGGCATGCCTTTCCTTTTGTTTCCCCTTAAACCAACGGGTTCCAAAACGGGCCTTGCATTTAGAACAACCCTCACCTAAGATTTGTTGGGCGTGATCCATTCACCCGGCTTTCCCATGGCCAGTCTTCGACTCGGAGCAGCTCCCAGAGCCACTGCAGCGACTTGCGGCGGATGACCAGATTCTGGCGCCGCATGCGCGACAGGAAGGCCATGGGCCAGCGCGGGGTATCGAAACTAGGGACCTGGGTTTGGGCTGGTTGCTGGTTGTGTTGGCAAGTTAGAGGTGGGGATTCGGATGTGTGCAAATCAAAAGGACCCTGTGGGGACATGTGGGGACCTCTGACCTTTGTGAGTCGACCCTTTGTTCCCAAGGAAGATGGGAGGGACATGTCGGTCCAGAAACAAAAGCGACCGAGAGCCCGGAGAGCCCGGTCTGACGGCCGAGATCCAGGTCCTGGGATACCCATAAGATCCAAATAAGCAACTGCACTTCAGCCAGGGGTCAATTCATTTCCCACCCAAACATTGCACCATTTACGGGAACCCCGTTGACACGGCCGTGGAACTGCAATGGTTGATCCTTCCAAAAAGGGGAAATATCACCGGACCCCTGTCTCAGCGATGGCTTGCCGTTCCAGGCTCGAAGGTGTGGAATACCAGCATCACTCACATACAGCGTCTAGCAGACCCCAAATGGCGATGGTTTCAGCACGGTGGCTTTGGCCAAAATAGACAGGCCAATGTGGGCCTGCTTTCCTTTTAGTTGTTTCTTTTGGGGTGACCTTGGGGCGACCCCTCTATTGTTCAACCAACCAATGGAAAAAGGACAATGCCGGACGGTTTCCTGCTGGCATCCTTCAAAACCAGCCCAAACCGGGGTCCCCATTCCCCCGCAAATTAACATGGAACCCCAAAAGGAAGTCCCCCAAAAAGTGATTCCTCTACCGTGATGGGTCTTTTTCAGGTTCCATTTGTTGATTTGTGGGGCCCCTAATTTCGGCACATCCCCAGATCCAACACGCCCCTGCCGTCCATTCTTTGAACCTAAAACAAGAGATGTTTCCATCTAATATTACTGAGAGCTGAACAAAGCCTTTCTGGCAAAGCGCGCCACGACATTGCAGTTTACCTGTGTACCCTTCTTTTCCCAGTCGAGTAAGGACTCACCCTGGCATTGCTGAGTTGGCTCAAGGCCTGCAAAATGACAAGGAGGTTAATCAAGCTTTCACTGTGGCGCGCCTGAGTAGCCTGGGCATGAACACCATCTAAGGTGGGATACTTGAGGCGTCCTCAACCGACAACAACATTACAATGGGGAACGATGTGCTTGTTGGAAAAAGGCGCTTGTTGGGCACGACAACTATTACTGGCTTCACCCACAAGTCTCAATAGATAACACAACTTCTTTCTAGCAATTCATGTTTCATGATCCCTATACAGCCAAAGCCTTTCAAAGAACGCGGAGGAAAAGCAACGATTAAGCATGAGAGGCTGCACGCATGACACTGTCTTCATATACCTCACGACAAGGGTCTTCGATGTCTTCAGACAGGATGGCCGGATGGATATTCATGGATATTCACTTGATCGACAGAATCTTTGGACATATTTAGGTGAAGTGGTATGATGATCAAATGATGTCTAGCTTGTGTGACAACTATGTGAGCAATGAAACTCCATACTGTAGATGGGCCAAAGGTGGACAGGGCTACAACGATAGCGCTTGGACACTAACAAAGATAAATGATGACTCGTAAGTGATGATTGACGGACGCATATGCATACATATACAAACATTCATACATATATATACATGGTTCCCCCCCTCCCAAAGAAGGTCCCCCCCTCCCTAAGAAGGTCTACAATCGTCTACAATTTATAGTCATGTTTGGGAAGGGATTGAACTCACTTTCTGGTGCTTAGGAGTTTTGAAGCAAACAACCCGAAGTACTTCGAAGTACTTCGCTTCTGGATTCAAGATTCAAGGGTGCCAGCCACTCCTGAAATGAGTCTTGAAGCCATTTCCTGGCGCTTAAGATGTTAAAGGCAAAAACCTAGAAGTACTTCGAAGTACTTCGCCCCTGGGTTCAAGATTCAAGGGTGCCAGCCACTCCTGAGATGAATCTGGAATCATGAAATGAATATTGAATCTAGCTTCGGGTTGGTTTAGGGTTGGTTTAGGGTTGATTTTGGCTGGGTTTAGGATTTGTTTTAGGGTTGATTTATGGTTGGTTCAGGGTTGGTATAGGGTTGGTTTAGGGTTGGTATAGGGTTGGTTTAGGGTTGGTTTGGGGTTGGTGCAGGGTTGATTTTGGGTCGGTTTAGGGTTAGTATAGGGTTGGTTTGGGGTGGGTTCAGGGTGGGTTTAGGGTTTAGCTTAGGGTTGGTTTAGGGTTAGTTTAGGGTTGATTCAGTTACGTCATACCGAGTCGCCTGCTAGACCACGGACTTAAAAACTCATACAATTTGAAACAGCCAAGTTGAAATTAAACTCGGCTGTTTTGAAAAGCACCGGATTTCCTGGTGAACCGCAGCCCAGAAAGCATAAACTTCAAAACAGCCGTCATCCAGCAAAACCCAGTCAGCTGTGAAAAAGCATCCTTTCCGCTGCGCTGGCGGGTGGAGTCGGGCACAGGGCCTTTCGGATCAGAGTGCATGCGCCCCTCCTGGATTGCAGCCTGATGGCAAGAAACGCCACTGAAACCACAAACAACTACAAAGAAGCCCAAAAGCACCAACAAAAATGCACACGTGCCACAAACCAGGATCGAGTGAGTGCACGGTCTAGCACCAGCTCGCTGCGAGAAGCAGCTTGCGCCCAAAGCCTAGCCCTAAACCTACCGAAAAAACACAAACGTCAGCTGGGGGTAAGTGGGGTCTATGGGGCTCTTTAGTACCAAGTATCATATCTGATATCTAGGTCGCTTCGCTCCAGTGATCTAGTCGCCTCGGGCCCAAGGGCCTCGGCGAATTGGAATGGATTATTGATAAATTTGGCCAACGGCAATTGTGTGAAGCAATTTTCGGGGACAGGCTGGCTCGGCCTTGGCAGGCGGACTTCTCCGATGAAGAATTGGCCGTTTTCCCGAAAACGTTTCTTTTGCAGAGTAGGCTTCGCTAAGAAACGCGAGTACCCAGGAAAGTTCAGGGGGGCTAAAATGGTTGACATCAAATGTACGCGTTGTTCCGTACGTTTGAGAAATTGCAGCCTTTGAACTTCTTCCACAACGTGTTCCTGCACGGTGCTTGCACTTGGTTAATTTGTTTTTGGTGAGTGTTGCTGGGGCCAATGAGAAGCAACGCGTGAGGACACAGAAGATGACATTATGACATTATGTCATAAGTTGGTATCACAGAGCTTGCGGTGTTTCTTTGAATGGGATGGTGGTCACTGAGTTGCTCGTGCTAGTGTTTTGCGCATTGGAATCAAAAGCACGCTGCATGGCTGCATGGCCGCATGGCACTGTGTGCAGGAATGCCGGCGCACAAAATGCCAATTGCGCATCCCAGCGATTTTGGCGACAGCTATGGCTATACGGACCCAGAGCCAGGTGCTGCAGGCGAGGGCAAGCTTCTGGCAGTCTAGGGATTCATATGTCCGGTTTAGCGCGGAGCCCTCTATACCATATTGAGCCATTCCCAGGGCGAAGATGTTCGGCAACTTCCATTTCTGTGATTTCCAGCAGCTTCCTCAACCTCGTGCGATAGTCATGAGTCAACACAGATTGAACGGCTTACGTATATTAATTATGTATACATGTATACACACATCAGGATTTAATACGTGTATTGTATATATATATATATATACATTATGTAGATATAAGTACACACATGTAGTGGTATGCCCCTGGAACCGAGGTTTTGAGCTGATTCACTGGTACTTGTTGTGTGCGTGTTTGTGCACACATTATGCCAGCCATGAGCGGAAATCGTGCAAACATTAGAAGGATTGAGTTTGCGTCATGACTAGTTGCGTTTGCCGAGTCTTAGGACTGAACATTTCTAACTGGCTCTATTGATTATCCTTGAATTCGTGTGCATAGGGACCTTGCACATGTGCAGGAGGTCTGTTCAAATTAAAGATAGTGTTGATAGGGTAACCTTTGCACATTGTGCGTTCTGCATAGTACTGTATTGTTTGGTAAAAACACCCTTGGCAATGTTGCAATGGTATTTCCAAATTGCAGAACTGTCCATTTGGTACATAACCCCTTGCAAGCAGGAATAATGTTCGAGCTTAAGGCTTCAAAGGGTATCCTGCAACCAGTCAGAGTGATTTGACACTTAAAGGGTATCCCTTGCAGTTTGTCCGGAACACTTTGCAAGAGAGTGCACTTTGCAATACAGGACGGTTTTGGGCTTTGTCGACATTCGCTTCAGATTCAGCTCTTGGCAATGGGGATCCCCGTCCCCCAGCACTTTGCAGGAAGTTTTCCCGGTTGCCAGCCCTTCAACATGTGTCCCCTATCAGTTTTGGTGTATTTCTCTCCAAGTTCACGCCTTCATCGCAACCCAAAGCATCCAATCAAAGCAGAACACATGTGCACATGTATGTGTATTAACATGTATATAGACTGTCAAATATGGACTTCAACAGCTCCAGATGCACAAGTCACAATTAGCTCTTCCTTTGGTGCTGCACATGCTATCGGCGAAGGGCCGTTCTGCTGAATGCGTTTATATCGGGGGCCCTGTAAACCTTTGTTGGGCTGGAGTGCCGTTCCTCGAAAGTGAGGTGACGTCACGGCATGATAGATAAGATAGGCATGCCTTTCCTTTTGTTTCCCTTTAAACCAACGGGTTCCAAAACGGGCCTTGCGATTAGAACAACCCTCACCTAAGGTTTGTTGGGCGTGATCCATTCACCCGAGCTTTCCCATGGCCAGTCTTCGACTCGGAGCAGCTCCCAGAGCCACTGCAGCGACTTGCGGCGGATGACCAGATTCTGGCGCCGCATGCGCGACAGGAAGGCCATGGGCCAGCGCGGGGTATCGAAACTAGGGACTGGGTTTGGGCTGGTTGCTGGTTGTGTTGGCAAGTTAGAGGTGGGGATTCAAAGGACCCTGTGGGGACATGTGGGGACCTCTGACCTTTGTGAGTCGACCCTTTGTTCCCAAGGAAGATGGGAGGGACATGTCGGTCCAGAAACAAAAGCGACCGAGAGCCCGGAGAGCCCGGTCTGACGGCCGAGATTGCGCTCCTGGGATACCCATAAGATCCAAATAAGCAACTGCACTTCAGCCAGGGGTCAATTCATTTCCCACCCAAACATTGCACCATTTACGGGAACCCCGTTGACACGGCCGTGGAACTGCAATGGCCCTGTCTCAGCGATGGCTTGCCGTTCCAGGCTCGAAGGTGTGGAATACCAGCATCACTCACATACAGCGTCTAGCAGACCCCAAATGGCGATGGTTTCAGCGCGGTGGCTTTGGCCAAAATAGACAGGCCAATGTGGGCCTGCTTTCCTTTTAGTGGTTTCTTTTGGGGTGACCTTGGGGCGACCCCTCTATTGTTCAACCAACCAATGGAAAAAGGACAATGCCGGACGGTTTCCTGCTGCCATCCTTCGAATTCAGGACAGCACTCAGAATCCGGATGTATGAAGAGAGCCTGAAAGCAAAAGAGGCTAAGGAGACCTCGAAAGGAAGCGCGAAGGCGCAACAGAGACACCAGCGAAAGAGCCATCATTGAATCATACCCGACATGAGCGCGGAAATGGTCCATCGCGTGGTGGAAGGCTTGAGAGGCGACGCGTTCTTGGTCGCAAGAGACCTCGGCTTAGAGGCGCTTGCGGAGCCTGATGGACTCAAGACCCTCACCAAGAAGATGAGAGACATATTTTTTCAAGAGCAAGTGAGGAAGCCAGAGAGTTGTTAGGTCAGAAGCCAATGGGCCCAATATCCCGACAGAGGGGCGAGAGCATGGTATCCTACACATCGAGACGGACACGTTGTTGGAGGACACTCAAGGAGCTGGACAGCAGCTTGCAGTTGTCAGAACAGATGCAGGCAGAGCTGATGCTCGAACTCGCCAACATGTTGCACCAGGAGATCCTTGTCATCCGAGCTTGCTCGGACGGCGGGCGAGAAATGGACAAGGTAGATAAGCTCTGGTGACGAACTACGGAGGTGTACATCTTCGGGGAGGCAAGGTCTTTGGCACCTGGTCCGGGCATCCCGAATGGGAACTTGAAGGTGAATACACATACGAGCATGAGGATGCTCTACCAGTAGGCTAGGAAGCATGAGGAGTATGATGAGTGTGAGGATGAAGAAGAAGCCCTGACCCTCACAGCACTGGAGAAGTTGGATGAAGGAGAGCCGATGTCAACTGGAGAAGCCATACAGCTGCAATTAGCAGCCCATGTTGCTTTTGGCAAGGCCAAAGGCAAAGGAAAAAGGACAAGCTCCAAAGGCAAGAGCAAGGGCAAGGGGAAGGTCGTTCGATCCCACTTGACCCTGGAGCAGAGGAGGTCGAAGTTGAAGGACCTCAAGAAGCAAAGCAAATGCCTGAGATGTGGAGGCCATGGACATTGGGCAGGTGACCCAGAGTGTAAGTTCCCAGGACTCAGGACAAACCAAGGGACACCGTCCAATCCGGCATCCCCATCAAACACAGCATATGCAGCCCACATGAGCGACACGTCAGAAGAAGAAGACAATCTGTACTTGCATGCTGTAGGAGACGACCAGCCAGTTGCATTGACAGCATCGGGAACAGGTAAGGGATGCACCAAGAAGAAAGCCCCCGTTGCTGATCTGTTTCCCCCAAGCTCGGCCGAGCCGGAACAACTGTCTGAGGTACCTGCAATAGCTTCAGCGGGAGCCACGAAGAGGAGAGCAAGGATGAGTACCGCTAGAGCCTCAGCAGATGTCCAGCTGGTAGAAATGCAAGAGGATGTTGAAGGCGAAAACACCGTTCTCAAGTACGGCATGTACAAGGGCATGACATACAAGCAAGTTGTTAGAGACCATCCTCAATATGTCATTTGAGGATTGAATGTCAAAGGCCCTGGAGGATTGCTCAAGAACTTTCTGACTTGGGTGTTACAGCACTACGTTGTGGAAGGCAAGCAGTTGGTGAGCCGTTCTTTGAGGGGCATGGACCCCGGGGCATACCAACCGAAGGCTAAGTCATCAGCAGCCAAAAGGCCACCTGTGCCACCATTGCCCAATCCGTGTGCATCAGGATGCAAGAACTTTAGCTATCAAGGCTCAACGGCATATACCGTCAGGAAGACATGCCGTGAATGCGGGCACAGCTCAACCCAGAGGCGTGAAGCTGAGCCTACACATGAGCCAGACACTTGCCCGCACGAGGACATAGACCACCGGGGCTCGTCCCGTGTGACAAGTAGGAGTTGGTGCCAACAATGTTGCACTTTCATCAGCGAAATGCCGATGGAGGCTAAGAAGTCCATGAAACAAGTGGCAAAGCAGGTTGAGTGCAGCAACATGACGACCAAACCTGTGATAGAAGCACTGGCTTCGGCAGAATCCCACGCACGACTGTCAACCACAGAGGTAGAGCAGGTGATTGGCATTTTCTCCACAGTCATCTCTGAACAGCTGTCTCAAGGCGAAGAGTTCTCTGCGGCAGACCTCCACACGGTGCTCCAGGACTGTATAGTGAAAGCCACCGAGAGGGGAGAAGGCAGTTCTCCACCTTGGGAAAAGGTGAGCTACCAGGGAAACGGCCTGTTGAGCGATGAAGTCCGTGTGGGTCACTTCCCTGTAGTGGACGCTTATGATCCCAATGAACCAGACGTTTGGGGAGCTCTTGGCGAAGGGTGTAACTGCACTGTTCACTCATCATACTGGGCAGAGATTTTTGGAGAAGCGCTTGGAGGCACAAGGAATGAAGATGCCGTGGTTGAACAAAGAAGGGAGACAGTTCACCGGCCTTGCTGCCAGTTCAAGAACAGAAGGCGTGAGGAAGCTGCCCTTTGCCATTTGCGCAAACAACGGGGACGGCGTTGCAGGCATCATGGAGTCGCATGAATTGAGCGCAGGCAAAACCCGACTGCTGATCTCACTGCATGCTCAAGCCGCATTGGGACTGGTCAAGGAGATGGGATCCGGTGTAGTGACCATCAAAGGAGTTGGTGATTTGCAGATCCATCGATGTTCCAAAACCGGTCTTATGGTGAACCTTTTCCCAATTTGCAAGGTATGCAGCAAGCGGCAAGGTATTGCCTAAAGGTGTCAGAGCACTGAGGGCAGACAGCTGCTTCAGACCTGCAGCCATGATGGGAGACGCTGCTGGAGCAGGAGCAGCCGGTCAGGAGGCCGAGCCAATTGAGGAGTGCCTGCAAGGCTGGACGGATGCAGTGCCGAAGAACAAGAAGATTTGGGTGACCTCTGTAGGACTCAGCTGGGATTACCCAGACAGCCACGAGAAGATGAAGTTTCCGACAGCACAAGGAGATGTCTTGCACATGCTGCCGGAGCACCGAAGGAATTTGCCAACCATATTATCGATGTTCGCTGTTTCCAGGACCCAGATGGCAGACAGGATTGAAGGCTTGGCAATGTTGAAGTCAATCCTGTACTTTGCAGAAGCCAATCCTGAAGGCTGCAACATCGTGTTCGTTTGCAAATCTGGACGTCATCGATCAGTTGGCATGGCAACACTCTCAGGCGCATTGCTTCGACATGAAGGAGTGAGATCGGTGGCCGTGGTTCACCGAGATGCTGGAAGTTGGGCACGCATGCGATGCGGAGGAGCCCGAGACTGCCAACAATGCAACATGAACCCCAAGATTGCGAGCGTCATCGCGCACTTCGCATTGCGAGCAAAGGCCATCACCCCAGTATCGGCACCGGTAACAGAACCGAGTGCGCCACAAGGCCAACAGGAGAGTAAGGCTGTGAGCCTGACACCATCGCTCAGGGCGAAGAAGGACAAGGAGAAGGACAAGACTAAGGACATCACGAAGAAGAAGGAATCAATGAATTATCCGAGGACAAGAACACCCGCAAGGGCAATTGACCCGGAAGCGGAGGACCTGCGCAGCTAGCGCGAGGCCGAAAGTAATAGCCACGATCCCGCCAAGAGGCAGAGAGGTGACCTATGGACAGATGAGGTCAGGACCTCGAGCAACTGAACCCGGAGTCTTTGTTCGAGTTGGTGAAGGCATTAAGCAATCAGGTGACTACTCTGACCAGCGAGTTGAGGGAGCTCAAGAAGAAGAGCCGCTCACGAAGCCCTAAGAGGGGAAGAGCTTCATCAAAGGAGAGTTCAATGAGGAGCAGGCGCAGCAGGCCCCGACAGAGCAAGTATGACAAGGAGTCGAGGAGCCGATCACCAATCACAAGAAGAGGACCGAGCGCCAGCATGAGCAGTAGCTATGGACACCGTGGGTATGGCGCTGCACCAAAGCAAGCTGCAACACCAAGGAGGACATCCCCAGACGACGAAATCACCAGCATATCCACCGCCAGCGCACTTGCTGGAGAACAGAGTGAAATTGGAACCAGCCGTGCCGGCAAGGCCAGAACCTGAGGTTGCAGGAACAGAAAGGCCGAATGAGCCTGAAGTCAGCCCAAGGCGTGATCAGGAAGCGCCAGCAGGGCCAGTTGAGCCTGCAGAACCTGTGCTTCACGAGGCAACAGACCTGGTCGGGGACATTGACCCTGAGGCGCGGGAGGCATCAAACAAGTTTGGAGGCATTCAGAAAAGAGCCTACTCATTGGAGGACCACTACATGGTGGACGGCCTCAAACATGACAAGACAGGCTGGTATGGCCCATATAAGCCCAGAAAGGGCGAGAAGCCAGACCGCGAGATAACAGGAAGAACCGGATATGGCACATCCCGGGTGCAGACCCAGGCGGGGATGACGAATGGCAGAAGACGGTGATCCGCACAGTGGACGGCAGTGAGGACAGTTGGAGCCTACTGGCGCAGGATATCCCGGCAGCAACACATGTGCACGTGCCATCAGGCAATGTCGTTGTGGTTTTGTGCCAGCCAGCACCAACGCGTCCATGGGAACCTCCGAAAGCACCATCATGAAGCCGGTCCACATCGCGTTCGTCTTCCGTGTTGACGGGACTTGCCGCAGTGTGCAAAAGAGAGCCCGATGATGTGCGTGATCCAAAGAGAGCCACCATGTCAAGGGGACAGAAAAGAGACTTCATTGCAGGCATCAAGGCAATGAATAGCAATGATGCAAACTTGAGGATAGCATTAGGCAAGGGGGATATGCCACTAATCACCCCGGCGCACACACTCTTCGTCACATCAGTTGCGAAGTTTGGCAGAATTGATGGAGTGAAGTTTCTGTGCATTGGAAAGGACGCATCCCGTCTTGGCCATGAGTTCCTTGACGAGGTGAAGCAGGCACTGAATCAGCATGGCGCGTGCACTGTGGTGGTTGCTGTTGAATACACGAACAGTGACACATCGATAGGGCGCTCA